AACAAACACCTAAGTAGAAAGCTGGTCTGGATGAATTAACTGGAAGTACTAAGGAAGCCTTAATCCATGCCATTGATCCATGCTTCCCTGTACCCCACAAGCATCACCCACATTCTTGTCTTCTCTGTGGTTTCCTAACTCTCACTGCACAGAAGAAGACAAGTGGTGGCACAGCACCCAGGAAGTCTATGTCACTTTTCTATCTTTTTTTCTTGTCCTCATCATGGGAATTCTGAGTATTGTCCTTTACCCCAAGTTGGAAGCTACCTATAAAACTAATTCAGCTAACAGAGCTTTTCAAGCGTATAGGAACAAAGGCCAATCTCTATGTATTTTGTAAAATAAGGTTTTTTTTCCCTAATACTCAAATACCTCTTCACCCTTGGCCACAGAAACTGACTAGGTTCTGCTGCTGTTGGAAAAGAATCACAGAGCATTATTCCGATAATTGAAATGCCTATGCTGGCAGACACAGTACAGTCCTCCTCTCTGACATACCTATACAGTTGCAATTGGCAGAACTGTACAGGTATATTGCTCTGAGATGAGCTATCCAAGAACTGAAGGTTACCAGGTGACTACCAGGTGTGGATACATCCCTAGCAGAACAAGGACATCAGGTTCTGATAGGGTTGGAATGCTCTTAAAGGGGAAATGCTTAGCCAGTGTATGGGACGCTATTAAGGGGGAAATGCTTAGTTGCTAGAGTAGAGAAGCAGTAACCGCAAGTAGGGTAAGATGATGATAATGAAATAACCAATGAGTGAGTTAGAGGCTTATATGCTTGCTGGATAGACAGTAGCATGTACGAATTAGAAAAGTCTACGTGACCGTGTGTACGGGACTTGGAAGAGTATAAAAGCTGTATGCAAAGCTATAATAAACGGCTTCTGGAGATCATATTGGTCGGCGTCAGGAGACTGGTCTTCTGCATGTGGTGATCCCGACGTGCCTATGATGGCGCACCCTGACGTGCCTACAATGGCACACTCCCACCCCCGATGTGTCTACGATGGCACACCCCGATGTGCCTGCGATGGCACAGTGATTTTATGAAAAGGCGAAAGGACTCGGCTGATGATGGAGTAGCTGGTCTACCTGGGATTTGAAATAATATTGAAGACACTGTGCAGTGGAGCACCTATGGAAAAAGGTGAGCAGCCGAGGCTGGAACATGGGGACGGCTATAACTAAAAAGTAATACAGGACATGTTCCAGCATATTCTCTCTGTGAGAGAACTGAAATATGATAAAAAGACTTTAAATCGCTTATTGCGATGGGGACAGTCACATGGTTTTTTTACCTCAGCTCGAGATGCTTTT